ATTATTCATAACTATTCATCAACTTTATCTAAAAGAAAATCTAATAATATTAACTAATATCTAATGAACTAATTAATAATAATATTTAATGGTTTAAATTTCAAAAAAAAATAAAATATACATAAAATATATAAAAAATAATAAAACTACTTAAATTTTACTTACCACTGCTTGATCCACAAGATTGCAAGAAGAAAAATGTGTTAAAGTGCTTCAAAGGAAAGAATGAAAGGGAGCAAAAACAACTCGCGGGACAAGAGGAAAATGAAAATGGAAGGAGAAAGACCAAAATGAAGGCAGAACCGCGGGTCGGCAGGGCATAGGCAAATTTACCGACGAAACCCACGTTGCTACAGTCAAAAGCTGATCACCTCTGCATTGCATCAGGATTCTTGTTGACCGGCCCATCACCGACGAGCATCAAGTTGGCCATGCATCAATTACCGACCTATCTCTCATCGGTAATGAAAAAAAAGCTGCAACGCCACCGGCCAGCAGCCGGATTCGCGGGGAGTTGCTGAATGCCCAATTACCGACAAGGCTTATGTCGGCAATTGAGCAAAAAGCTGCACTCCCTGCCGCAAGCGGCCAGCTGGTTGGCGGGGCGGGTGCATTGGGAGTGGCAATTACCGAGAAGGTGGACGTTGGAAATCGATCCCAAATCACCGACGAGGCTCTCGTTTCAAATTTGAATTTGCAGGCGTTCTACTCGTCGGTGATTTGGGTTTCCGTCCTTCTCCCACCAGCCGGAGTAAAAACTCCATTTACTGACGAGCGACACGTTTGTATAATCTTAAATTACCGACAAGTGTTACGTGTGTAGGCTAAATAATATATCTTACTCGAGTTTCTACTGTTTCTCAAGTTGCAGACTTGATTCTTGTCGGTAAAATGGCTGCTTCACCGAGAAACCTTGTTACCTCGGTGATATTTGGTCAGTGAAACTAAGTTTTCTTGTAGTGCATCTTGTGCTTGAACTCAGTTGCAAGGTTTGTTCATCAAAATGAGATAATTTGTAAGTTTTTGAATATAAAAAAAAATTACAGATAGATCTCAACAAATTTATACTCTAGATGTAAACTTAACTTCAATAATGGAAGCTGTCCAAAGATAACAATGGGATAAAAATTCCAACTTCATTTATTATTTATTATAGTGTAGTATTAATGTAAATACCAGATTTATTGTGTGCCCATTGTGTTACTAAGTAATCCTCATCTTCTTTTACCATAAAAAAATGGAATGAATTGTTTTTGCCCATATAATGCCACTAACTAATTTATGTTTTTACTTACAAGGCTTATTCACATAAATGTTACGTAAATAAACATTAAATTTGTCAAAAAAAAGAAGATAAATTATTTAAATTGTTAATTTTAAAACTTATTTATTTAAAAAAATTTGAAAATTAATTAAAAATTTAAATCAGTTTGTAAACTTAATATAAGGTTTTACCTGACTGAAACGTAGAATCTATTAGTCATGTGGATATTATTCCAACTTTATTGCTTGTATCAGTTATATGATTGTCCTGCGCTAAAGACTTTGACTCGTAGATAAGAGAAGTTGGCTTTGTAGGTAATTTACAAATGGGTTCATAAAAAGGAAAACACTAAAAAAGTAATTTAAAACGTGCAAAGTAAATCAAATCTTTTAACCTTAAGGGTATTACACTAACTATTGTAAAGAAGTACAATTGAGTTTTTTTAGAATTTGAACTTGAGTTGATGCTAGTATGATGGGTCTATTTTAAGTTTTTTGTCAAGTTTAAAATTACTCAAATTTGAACTCAATTTGTAAGCTCTATTAACTATGAGTTTAGATTAAAATTTAAATTAAATAAAAGTTATATTTTTAAATATTTAATATATAATTAATTTTTAATACAATTAAATAAGTTGAGTGGAGTTTAATTTATAATTTGAATTTAATTCTACTTGATTTTTTTATTGAGTGTTCAACTTAAACTTAAACTCAGGTCAAGTCAGGTTCTCACTCAAATTTTACTTGAGTGGCGTAATTCATTTACAGCCCTAATTACACACTGTCTTTGAAGTCTTAAGGACTACAAGAAGAGTGTTGGAACTGCAAAACTAACAACGGTTGAGGACCAACTTATACTTTGAGCTAAAAACTAAGGACCAAAGAAAGCAATTTGCCTTGGACGGAGAGAAGAAAACATATTTAGTGGAATTCATCATGATTCACGTGCTAAAATGTAATTGAAGTTGAAGCTGTCACTGGCCGTGAATGTAATAATTGTCCTTGAGTGTGGGGCGGCAGGCAAATTTGAAGAAGTTCGCAAGGTAGCGCAATTTGCACCACTCGTTACCACTAAAGAAATTTGAAATGTGATTTGAAATCCGATCTGATAAATACACAGCGACAAGGGCGATCTTTTCAATTATATTTTACTGTTTGTTTGATATAAGTATTAAGTTAAAAGATGTCAGAGACAGATGATGTATCAGACACCCCCATGAAATAAAAGACAATAAAAAAGAAAAAGACACCCCATTGAGGTTCTCGATAATTTGCAGTACTGAGATGACTTTAATAAGCTGTGGACTCGTGGTCTGAACTTAAGACATTGGAATTTTGATTTCGCGTCTACATCCCTGACCGTACCAATATAACTGATTCTTCAAGGCAATTTCTGAGAAAATTCCTATGGAGTGTATTTCTTATACTTTTGCTTTCATTAAGATATTAGCAAAAATACTCTAATTTTTTCACCAAAAAAAAAAAACTCTAATTAGATCTATTATATGGGTATTAAGATTTTTCAAAAAATTTATAATATTTTAAAGTAATAATATGTTAATATTTTATTTATGTAATCAATACATAAAAAATATTAAATGTCATTAAAAAAATTAAATTATTTAATTTAAAATTTTATTTACTTTAATAACAATTTAAAGATTTAATAAAAAAAATCTAAAATAAATTGATAAGCTTAATATAAAATTTTCCCTAATTGAAACGTAGAATCTATGTGTCATGTGGATATTTATTCTAACTTTGTTACTGTCCTGCTAACCGGGCCTGAGGTTCAGTGATTGGCCTTCAAACCTTAAGGTCTGGGTGAGGCGGAAGTTAAGATTTTAAATTTTGTCATCGTCGTGAACTCCACCAATTAATTACCTAATAGTCGCGTCTCAGCTGAGGGAGGGGGTAAAATGTTCATTATTTTGAAAAATCTCAGTTGCTAA